GGCAGCCGCCCTGGCGGGGTGGGAGACTGTGGCTGCCTGGGGGGGCTTTCAGGCCTTGGGTTCAAAGCTGAGAAACTGTATTTTTATATCCCTGTCAGTAATCAGCCTCATTCTGGAGGTGCAGCATGTAGAAGCAAATTAGTATATTTGAGTTCTTGTAGTTCAAAATAGGTATCTTTTATCTATGTTATGTGATTATGCAAATAACTGGTTGGAAGGGAGAATATAACACTGGTGACAAACCTTCTGATTTCTAAGTTGTTTGGTTTTTGGTTTGGGTTTTTTTTTTTAATATCTATCAATAATTAAAAAACCCCACCAACTTCAGAGCAGATTTTGAAGCTTGACCAATGTGGAGTTAAGTGGGTCATATACCTGCAAATCCCAGCATACATATTTTCAAACTAGAATGATGGTCTGGAAATTTCTGGTTCCATATTTTACCAGTGAGCCACATGGTAAATGGAGATGAGCAGGGTTGTTTTCCACCAGAGTATCTTTGTACCTTGCCAAGAAAAAAAAAGAGGCAGTGTGAAGAAAATGTATCCACTGCTGTAATGGCTGGCAAAGCAGTAGAATTTTGGGGCGGAAAATTCTGCCTGACAATAGCAGGAGATGATCCTTTGTCATGTCTCTTCTACTCCCACAGCTCCTCCTTTTAAACAAAAATAACTGTTCAAAGTACAAAGTCCGCTATTACTGATCTTACAGTATTTGTCATTTGTGTTTTGAATACTTATGAGCTCAGGTAGGAGTCAGGGGCGCGTGATCATTGGATCACTTGTCATATAGCTTCCTATATTTTAGAAGTCTTTGCTAGGGAGTTCACTAGCTTTTAGCACTAACAAATGGGAGTATTGCACAGGAGTAGTAAGCCAAGATTGAGGCATGCAATGGATTAAAACTTTATGCTGCAGTATGGTTTGTATGGTTGGATTGCCTATACAGCAATCTGTTCCATGAGGCTTCTGTTGGAATACGATTTTAGCATAGAAGTCCATGTGCCTGGATTGTGATTCAGTGTTGCATATGGGTTGAAATTCTATGTTGTGCTTCTAAATACAACACAGTAACTTTTAAAAATGATTTTCTTGTTTCATATAGCTGTATTACCAAGTCTTAAATTTTGCTATGATAGTGTCTTCTGCCCTTATGATATGGAAAGGGCTGATCGTCATTACTGGAAGTGAAAGCCCTATTGTTGTGGTGCTCAGGTAAGTCAATGTAAAGGCTTTTTTATTAAAGTCCAAATACTGTTTTGTCCTTTGTCTCCTCCCCTTCCCCTTTGGATAGATTTGGAGTTTCAAATCTCACCTACTTAAAGAAGTACTCAAACACTTATTTTCTTCTAACTCTGTTTTGGACACTTAGCAAAGGCTGCTTTCGTAATTGCAGTCTAGTTTTCATTGAAGTTTGTTGAAACAGTAAATATGTGGTATATAAAGAGCCAGTCCTGCAGGCCCCTGAGTGCTGATCAAATACATGAAGATAAACCCATGTTCATGGAAGATTCAGCCTTACAGAAATTGAACGTGTGTCAGCAAGGAATGTATGCAGTAAATAGCAGTACTTTAATGAAAATCGTCTGTTCATGTTATTAGTTATGGAATCTGGAATCCTACCTTAAAGGTTGTTACCAAAAGATACTATGGCTGGCTTTGAAAAAAGGCATGGATTTTCTGGTCATTAATAGTAATCACTGATGTAAGCATAACTGTTGCTCATGTTAATTAAACTCTGTGTATAGAAGTACTTCCTATTGTACTGTGAAACATTTTTTGGCTTTTCAGTAATGGATTGGTTTTCTTAACCAGAATGGCTTGTTGTGTTCCTTCCTCATAGCTACAATACTGCTACTTTTCTATACAGCTTCTTTCTTTCTTTCATTGAGGCAGTAAGAAAGTCTTCTATAGCCTGGCTCAGCTTGGGACTTACTGAGGTTTGCGTTGTGTTAAATGTCCGTGTAGTGTTACTGAATGGGTGAAGCTACAGATTTCAGTTAAAATCGTGAGTTTATCTGTAAGAATTAAATATTCTTTGTTTTCATGGTTCTTTCAGTTACCATAATGCTAACAAACTCTCTCTTTCTTTTTTTTTTGTAGTGGCAGCATGGAACCAGCTTTTCACAGAGGAGACCTGTTGTTCTTAACAAATTTCCATGATGACCCAATCAGAGCTGGTGAAATAGTTGTTTTTAAAGTTGAAGGCAGAGACATTCCAATAGTTCACAGAGTAATCAAAATACATGAAAAGTAATGCAGCTTGGCATTTTCCTTGTTTCTAAATGTAGTTTCATTCATCGTGACTTTCACTTACATTTTAATTTGGTAGTATTTTGCGAAAAAGGCAAGAGGATATGCTGTAAGATAAAACTCATCTCTAGGATGTGATCTGCTTTTGTCCCCAGTTCTGTGGCGTACTTCTTGAGACCCTGGCTCGTGTCCCTCAGCAAAGTTGCTCAGGTTCGAAATAGGTAAACCTGTGCCAAAGAGGAGTCCAGTAACACAAGCTATACATGTTATTTTTGCCAGCAGTAGCAATATGTATGGGAGCAGAGTCCACTTCTGTACTGACTGTCATAGAATGGGGATTTTGGTTATGAGAAATGGCTATTTCTAAAAGCAAATCTCTGAAAGAAGGTAAAGATTCAGAATTAGAGTTATAGATGAAGTCTGACAAGTATGTGATCTTTGCTAACTGAAGTTTTCCAGAAAAGAGATTTGACTCAGAATGAGAGATTCTTACTCTTTTTGTGTCTGTTAGTCACAATGCCAACAACAATTCATGCTGAAGAGCAACAGGTAGATTACTTGTTTTTACCTTTATTGCATATCCCTGGTATGATAAACAGTTCCTTCTCAAACAAAGAGAGGCAATGCTGTTTCTGATTCTGCACAGTGAAAAGCTAACCTGGAGGTGGCAAGCATTGACATGTTTGCTCCTCATGAGGTCCTGGCCATGAACTGAAGGTGTTTATCATTTGAGTAATATATGTTCTTCAATGCATTTTTGAAACAAATATGTATATACAAGAATTACCTCTTTTTTTTTTAATACCTAATTTATCTTCGTAAAAACTCCTTGTTTCTTGATATCATTACTTGCAATTAGTGAGCAAAATAATTCTGAAGATTGTAAACTTAACTTTATTTAAATGGGAGTGTTGAACCAAAGTATTGCATCTGCACATATGCCTAACGCTTGAAAGAGAGTGAAACTTGGCAGGTTTTTTAACAGCTGGTGGTTAAATTAGATCATGTTCAAAATGTAGTGTAAGATACTTTGTTCATTTGAAACAGTAGGGAAAGGTTATGATTTGGGCATGTTCAGGGTTTTAAACCTCTATTCCTACAAAAAGGAATGAGCCTCTTTAATGGCCAGGAGAGGTCAAGACGTCAGCTCTGGCTCCGAGGGAGCAGCCTCGCTCTCTGAGCTCTGCAGGCATTCATCCGTGGGGGGGAAATGCCACCTACTGAAGCGTTTCTATCGCTTGGATTTCTCCATACAATCCCCTAAAAACCCCACATAATGTTTTGTCTGCATGATGTTATTTAAAGACTGGTTAAGTGTATTTTTTTTTATTTGCCACATTAATAAATATCAAATGTAAGTGAGGTTTTGCCTGGAACTCACTATATTGTTTAACAATTAATGAGTGACCTAAAACTGTGATGCAGTGTTAGTGACAAAATACTGAATTTGATGCAGATTTGCAGCTACTTTAGAGGCTCTTCAATATTTTTTTCTATCAAAAGAGGACAAAGCTTTATTTTTGACATAAATATGATTACTAAGAGTTAAACAAGTGTATAGAACTTAGAAGAAAATTGTCTAAAGCATTGTATTACTATACCACCTTCTTTCCTAAGGGAAAGATTTTTAGGGTCTCTCTCATCTGAAATTTGTGATTCAAATTCAATTAAATTCATTCTCTAATGTGTGGTGACTTCACAGGATATTATTCCACAGTTTGTAAAAACAAACGAACAAAAAACCCCCCAAAAAACCCTCTTAGTAGGGTATTATTCAGTATTTCAGAGTTAAAATTCTGTTCTGTTGAAAATGCCGAGGGTTGGGTTGTTTTTTTTTTTCCCCATGTAGGCACATTCTGCTTTTGCTGAGGAAGTTTAGTGCCTGCTGTGGCTGGACAATATCCCTTTCATGTTCATTGTGTAATTGCTTACATCAATTGACAATCTAGGAGTGTTTTAAAAAACATTTCTTGTTAAAATCTGTTGACTCTGTCAGTAAAGTCTGTAATGTTAATGATTTAATGGTGTTTGTTAAATAAGCAGGACAAGCAGGACTGGAAGTAAACATTGTTATCTAATCTTGTAGCACTTGTCATCTTCATTGTGCTTTGTAGATGTTAATTGAGGTTTTTAAATTAAGTGGTATTTAGTTTATCACCTTGTTGCCTTCTAGAGAAAATGGGAACATCAAATTTCTGACTAAAGGTGATAATAATGAAGTTGATGATAGAGGCTTGTACAAAGAAGGTCAGAACTGGTTAGAGAAGAAAGATGTTGTTGGAAGAGCAAGAGGGTAAGTAATGCAAAATGTCTATGTTCTTTGTAACTAAACCAGAAAATTTAGAGTTTAAATCAGTTCTGCTGTTGGTGTAAACTAGAGCTGGTATGGTATTTTTTTTAATTTCTTAAATAAAATAGTAATTAAAAAAAACTACCTGGAAAAGTTGCTTTCTGTAGTTCTCTCACTGATGTGGAGAGTGTGGAAATTAATTTTTTGAAAAAATGGCACATTTAACAAATAATTCACCAGTAGATACAATTAACCAACTGTGGAGAGTGGAAATTAATTTTTTGAAAAAATGGCACATTTAACAAATAATTCACCAGTAGATACAAAATTAACCAACTTATCCTTGTAATCACTAGAAATTACTAGGAAATTATTTCCACATTCCACAGGAATTTTATGCAAGGTTTGAGCTTTTGACTCTGTCCCCAGTTGAGATGAAATCTCTTGAGATTTTTCTCAAATAACTTGATTAAATTTTTGTCTAAAGAAAAAAAAAATATTTTGCATTCAGATATGCGTTAGTGACAAGTGTAAATGGTTATTTTACACTGTTCTTATTTGGAATGCTTTTGCTTAGAGCCTGTGGCAAAGTATTGTTTGGGCTGTGAGAGTTGTCTTAGTGATGCCATGAGAAGCTTGATGCGAGTTCTGCTGTGTCCAGTAGGCTAAGATTAACGTCGTAGGCCAAACCCAGTGGAAAGTAGGACTTCTTGTATCACATCATATACTTGTGTATTTTCTTGCCTAATTTAAGAGTTCTATAAGTTGTCATAAATATAGGGTTAACTTGCAAAGCAGTACAAAATACTTTTCTGCAAGAATATTTATTTGTTTGATTTTTTTTAGATTCTGTCCCTGCCTTCAAGTTAAATAAAAAGAAACAGAACAAGTGCCCCTTTAAACCTTTAATGCTGGTAGACTAGGTTAAATGCTAATTTTAAATACTTTCCGTATTAGTTTGAAACCCTTTCTGTGTTAGATTATATGGCTTTTTATAGCTGCAGAACAACAGGAGACCCTGAAAAGCAGATTCCCTTGTGTTGTAGGATGTTAGGCTTTTGTGGGTACCCCTCATTACGATGATATTTCCTTGCCATTTCTGGGATCCATGTGTATTTTTAATGCTATGAATAATATGCAGCAAGATGAAGCATGGGAGGAGAGGGAAATCTGAGAGATCTTGCTCCCAAACTTTCATTAAGTACATATCGTCTTTAAAGCTCTTGTTGTCTCTCAGAATTTTTTCTTTCTCTGAAATCCATTATCTAAAATATTCAAGACTGAGTAACATTGAAACATTTCCATGTAATATTTGAGGGTTAATTTTACATTCATCTGTTTTGTCAATTACAGATTTTTGCCTTATGTTGGTATGGTAACTATAATAATGAATGACTATCCAAAATTTAAGGTATGTATACAGACATTTTGCATACTTGAATTTAAAACTATAAAATAGCAAGTAAAGATAGTAAGAATCTTGCATATAAGAATACATGTTAATAAGTTTGTTTCTGTGGTTTAGTACCTAATGTAAAATGAACTATGTTTTCTTGCTTATTTTAGCTTGTCTGTTACCCAGTAGAACTTAGTATTAGTAGTCATTTGAAAACATTTAATTTATAGGAATATCATAAGTTAAGTGTATACAGTTGTGATGCCTATTTGTAATGAATATGGTCACATTAAAATATTTCTGTAATTCTATAGGTACTCAACTCTATAATTGTGTACTCATCTAGAAGGTGTAATGTTGGAGAGGGCACACTTTGAACAATTTGTAATTTCAGAGCTTCTATGAAGAGAAATTATAATCAGTCTTCATTTTCTTTTGCAGTATGCTCTCCTGGCAGTAATGGGAGCATATGTATTGCTGAAACGTGAATCCTAAAAACAAACAAACAAAAAGTCACTTTTCCAAGAACAAAGTACAAAGTTAAATATAAGGGGAAAAAACCTAATATATTTCAGATGTTTTCATTTCTGTATACAGTTACAAAACTGTGCAAGCTTTTGTCTTGTCTAAATAAACTGTACGACTAATGAGTAAAGCTTTTGGCTGTTGGTTAATTATGTAATGGCATATTTACTGTCTTAAATAGATCCTGCTTTCAATTAGCCTTTTGCTTGTTTGGAAGACACAGACTGTCATGTGCTAAAGCAGCTTATGGCACTTCTTGACATGCTGTGTTATTTTTCTTAAGCGGTACTGCATCTGAACCCACTTTCTCCCTCCTGTTTGTTCATTTTTCTTTGCTTGATTACTTTTAATCTCTGTGAGTGCCTTCTCTTTTCACGACCATACAAATTGTTTTTATCAGTACTTATAAGGGCACAGCATATGTGTTGGAACAGGTAGTGAGTTGTAGGAGTTCAGTCAGACTTATGCCTAAAGAAAGTTGTCTAGATATGGCTGACAAAAATAGACAGGAAAGGGTCTTTCATTCTGATTGAGAACTGAGAAATGGAAACTTGGAGCTTTTTCCCTGAATTTGAAACTTGCTCCTTTGTGGTGTAGGGACAAAAAAACCTAATGACCTGATTTTTAGAGGCCTGATTTTTAGGGACTGTGTGTGTTTCTAGAATTCAGGCTGTTAACCATTCTGCCTTTATGTTCCTAGTGATAAAACACACCTAACAAAAAGATTTTATGGGGTTTTATTAACACTTGTAAATTACTGAATGAATAGCACAGTAGTGTACTTAAGTAATATTACCAATAAGGGTAAGACATAACTCATATTCCAATTTTGAGAATGTATTGTTCTCTTCTATCATATGATACCTGAATAGTGTTAAACATAAAATTGATTTTTCATTTTAAAACTTACCTGATAACTGTCTTATATGAAATTCTGGATTTTTCTCTTCTTGATTTCAAATGTCAACGTTGTACCTTCCACAAAGCAGAATTTGTTTTCCTCGCTTGCTTTGTTTTTGTAGCTTTGATAAGGAACAGCATGATGCTTTTTTCCTGTGGAGTTTTGTTTCTTCTGTAATCCCTTTGAACAGCGAACAGCATGATGCTTTTTTCCTGTGGAGTTTTGTTTCTTCTGTAATCCCTATAAAAATATACTATTGTACAAATAATGGCACCTCTTCTGTTGTAACTGCTAGTGCTGAAAGGCAGACAACTGCTGAATTTTTCCAAGTAATGCTACTTCTTTTGTGTCCTGTTAAGTAGTTTTCATGACAAACTGTATTATAAAAATTACTTGTTTTGTGTCAAATTGTGTAGAAATAAAATTGAATATAATAAATGGCATGTCAGAGTAATTTAGGTATCCTTAATGCAGTCTTCTCAGAAGTGTGCCATCACAGTTAGGAAAAAATAATTTAATTTTTGGACAGAGTGTATGTGTAGTAAGATTTTGTGCCCCCTCCGCCCAGTATTGCTGAAATCAGAATTTACTCCTGTCCACCTGTCCCAATGCAGTCACAGTCAGCTCTAACTTTGAGAGTGGGGTTTTGGACATAACCCAAATGACAAATTTGGCACATTATTATGGGAATTTATTCTTGTGTTGAGGAAACATGGATTAGTAAAATCAAACAAGGATAACATCTAAATATGTGGGTTCATGCTCAGAAAAAAAGGTTGTATTTTTGGGGTATGATATCCTGTGTCTTAAGTCTCCTTGATAAATCTTAACCTGCAGAATTGACTTGCACAATGGAGTAAAATATGGTTGTCAGTGTTGCCATATCTGTTCTTTTAGTGAAATGTTGGATGACAGTGTGGGCCCAGTTTGTCTTCCTGGTTTTAGCTGGATGCCTTGAGATCTGTTAATTGCATCCACCAAAGCAACTTTGGTCAGCCATGTACAATAACTTGTTCAACCATATAGGTAATCTGCTTTCTCTTTTGTGATAAACAATAGCTTTTTTTCAGCTGGTAGGACCAGATGCCGTAATGATAAATCTTATATAAATATGAAAAGTTCTTGCCTGCATGGGAAGGGTATAAAGAAGATGGAGCTAGATTCTTCTCAGTGGTGCCCGGTGACAAGGCAAGAGACAATTCCATCTGAACATTAAAAAAACCACAAACTTTTACTGTGCAGATGGTTGAACCCTAAAACAGGCTAAAAACATGGTAAAACCACTAAAACATGGTACAGTATTCTTATG